ATTAGTCTCAAAGTGGGTTCCTCGTCATCGAATAGTGTATATGAATATCAAGTATGCTGCATTTGAAATGTAGCAGTTACATAGAAACTGAAGTTTGTTATTACTGAACTTCTAACAGCTTTACAATATTCTGTTTGGAAGTAACACGTTCATTTGTTTTACTGACCACACTGTAATTGAGATTTAAATGTAGATAATAATTAACATGTTAACTTCGTGTAAAACTGTAGATTTTCATTTTAGAGGCAAATTTTTCATTTAGTTTGTTTTAGTAACATCATCTGACTTACATAAAAACCACGTCACCCTTGATTTCTCGAAATAGGTGGAATCATAAAAGCCAAAATGCATTTATCCAGATAGAATAGTTCGATTACTGTCTACTCATTACGATTTTAGTTACTAGGGTGCAAGGGGTCATGAAACCTTATACGTGTAGTGAGTGTTGGTATAATAAGCCTAAAGTAAAAACGTAGTGTGAAATCACCTAGCCTAGAGTCAAGTGCATAAAATTTATCATGAAAGTAAAGATAATGATTCAATTATAAATTTAAATCGTTTCTAAACTAAGCTATCTTCTGTTATATCACCAATGTTTTAAATAAAAAAACAAACCTCTTTAATTAACGGATACTCTAAATTAAGAAATCAACAACTATTCTTCCAGTTTTGTTGTCTATAAATTTCATTTTATACTTTTAGGGCATAGACAATATTAGGTTATACTTTTGTTGCAAAGCAGCATGACATAAAAGCCATTGTTAGGACGTAGCGTTACTAAAACGCACTGGCTTTTATATATATTAGAAGTTGTTAATCTAACTGATTTTTACCAATAATAATTCCATGAATATGTCACGAATTCATTTCATGAATGATCTTAATTTTGATTGGCTCACAAAGAAATATACCGACGTTTGACTGCCTTGGCTGCACTGTTCTGCCTTTTTGTTGGTTTATTCATTTCAGTTAACTATGAAATGTGAGGTTAGGGTATATTATGGGATGGGGTTATAGTACTTGTCCCGTCATTTTTGTTGGACTATATGTTAGTTATGTGTAATTACTAGTCTTATTAAGTTGGAGTTATTATATCTTAATTGGTGTAAAATTGTTAATTGTTATGATGCATTTTTTTCTATCTCTTTTTACTTAGGGTGGCATGTTGTTTATTCAAAAAATAAAAATACACGGCATGTTCTCTACGTTAAATACTTTTCTTTTAATTGCAAAGTTTCGACCCTCTTACCAGAGCCTTCTTCGTGCAAAAATGTTATTTCAAAATTGTGATTGTTAAAACACCAAAATCTTGAGCTAGGTAAATGAAAATTGTTTTCCTCTGTCTAGCCCCCCATTGGCACAGTGCTATGTCTACGGACTTATACCGCTAGAAACCGGAGTTCGATACACGTGGTGGGCAGAGCACAGATAGTCCTTTGTGTAGCTTTGTACTTAACAACAACAAAACAAATATTCAACGTCGAGATTAGTTCCTGCATATTTTTTTCCACATTAATATACTTACGTTATGAGTTTTAAAAAACAATATTAATTATTTGTTATATTTTGTTTGATATATTCCTATATGTTATCCATATTTCATTTAATAACATTATGTTTGCTGGTATGAAGTTATTGCTTGTTTCTCGTTTTACTTTAATCTATTTATTGATTTCATATAAAAATATTCTAATATTATTTGATATCATTGTGAAGATCCCACCCCCCAAAAAAAATCTTGTGAATACATCGCGCAGGCGCAACTGAAGGTCAAGGCAGCCTCTAACCCAGGATTTTATATTTTATGAACTGCGAGAAAGCCACTCTGTTCTACTTGTTTATAAGTTATGAGAAAGTCTATACGTGTGGTATGGGAAAAAAAAATGTATGTCGATATTTGAGGAGTGTGTCGAAGTGAGTTTGTGTAAAAAGAATATGCTCTGTTATTATTCTGAGAAGCTATTTTTCCAAATTTATTTTTTAATTACATGTTTTCCAAACTCCATAAAAGCATTCAACATAAACACACACAAAAACTATTTTCAAATACCAAAGCCTTTTAATTATAAACGCAGCATTAGAGCAACATACAATTAAACGTCTATTCAGAGTAGAACTCAAACGAATTTAACTAGCATGATTCTCCAGTAAAACACACGTTCAGATAAAATAATCTTTAAATACAATTTAATATTGAAACTACCACAACAGATTTATTTATATTCATAATAAGTGAAGCACAGTTAGTAAAATTGATAAAGTAGAAAAAGATTGTTATGTTCTATTAGTTAAATCAGATAACCGCAGGCGTGCATGTTAATTAACCTTTATAGAAGCGTGATTTATGTCATCATTAAACTATTTTCGCGTGTTCTAAGTTTTTATATTCATAAAAACAAATTATTATTTCGATAGCATTAGCAAATGAGAATATCGCGCTCCGTCAAATTATCAATTCTCTTGAAATGCGAAACTCACTTTTATTTCAACGTTCAGTAACGTAAGGCCAGAACCGACGTATTTTGACTACCTTCTGATACCGTCGAATCAGTGAGATTCTTCCGTATTAACATTAGTAAAACTTTCTAATAACAACGGAGTATCTTTCGATCTTTTTTAATATTCTGTTTAACCTCCATGAATGTCTGTAGTTGGTATATTGAATAAAAACAATGACGTTTCAGTCATCTAACGACTATTTTATTAATCAACAAGATATCCATTAATACCGTCTAATTGCTTTCATAAAGGCAACTTAATTCTGGCTTAATCTAAAGCATTTACGAGACAACATATTTACTTTAAGTTTCATCTACTCTAAACTAAAGCAACAGGGAAAACATTATTTTTTTAGAAATATTTTCGGTTTTGGAATTCTAATGTGACGCAAAATTCTTCCTCTTTTTTTTTTTTGACAAAGAAAACCGGTAACAGTGTATAATGACATGAAACAGATCATCAGAGTTACAATCTTATGCACTTCATTCAATATTGATAAACAAATAAATAAATGATACATATAGGCTAGAATATCCTAATACATGCTGGGCTGTAACTGTATATGTATATATAAGGCAGACTAACACGCACTACGTTCCTCATTTACTTCTAACGTAATGCACCATTGGAGTTTACTTTTATATCAATAAAAGAAAAAAATTGATTTTGAAAATCCATTATTAAATCCAACGGCAATGAACAATTATGGTTGTTTGTTGAATCTTAGAAAGTGAAATGAAGCTATTCACAATAAATAACTTGGAAATATATGTACATAATAACTAATTAGTCCATTTATCCACAGTTTTCACAATGTACATCATTATCAGTTTAATATAACAACTCGGGAACGTTTGCCAAAACGCTGAGTTCCTATTTTGTATTATTTTTTAGAACACTAATATTTTTATCAACAAAGAGAGTTTAAAGCTAATAAATATGTATACCTGCAATATGTTAAGAATTGTTTACAGAAGTAAACACACATTTCGAAACAGGAATACTACATTTAAATCCATCGTCGGCGATGGAGAATGTGTTGTAGACAGATTAGAAATAAATCAGTCAGCACATGAACTTGTCAAAACAGAACTATAAACTCTGATAGTAACTTCCTTCGTTTTTTTGTTTTTTTCTCGCTTTCAAACTCTGACACTCGAGCTCAATGATAAGCTATTTTCTAAAAACACTACAAGAAGATTTTATATTAGACTAAGTTTACTAGTTTATTGTTCATTAACTTTGGTTCAAGCGTCAGACGTGACAGCCGGAACAGCAGCATGCAGAAGAGCTTGGGAATGTTCTCGCGCTTTTCGTCTCAGATCTGTGACGCTAGACGTCGACGAATCACGGCTGTGGACGAGGGTATGGGAAGGGGAACAAGGATCCATTGGTTTTGGCAGACAACAGGAACAAACGGGAACTGAAAATACACATGAACATTCAACATTTTAAAGTCATCTACTTCAATCATGTTATAACATTTTCAGTCATGTAATCAGAAGAATTTATAAAATAGAGACAAATGTAGAAGTATGTATACATTAATTTTACTGAAGTTTTCAACGTTTTATAAAAACACACAAAAAACAAACCAATATAAGAGACACTAAAAAATTTTCAATAGAATTTACCACACTGAAATAGAATAATCGCTCTTCTTGTAGTTGTATGTTATATTTATGACAAAATTATCTGCTGCCAGTATTCTAGTACCTATTATCCACGCTAAGGGATTGACTGTCATTCTTATAAGGCACCCACAGCTTCAAGCATGAGGACTATTTTGTGGTACAACACTCCAGTTCTGTTAATCAGCTCTAAAAACTAGATTTCGATCACAAAATAATTTTCACGCCTTTAGCTGTGGGGGCGTTGTAAGAGTAACAGCCAATCCGTTAGAGTGTACAGCGTAGTAGGGTAACTTATTATAACATACCCATAGCTTAGAGTGTGGGGCATACTTTGTGATTCCGCCGGGATTCGAATCGAGCTATTCTTTTACATAAATATGCAGTATTTATTTTTTAAAGCAGCAGTAAAAACTGTCGATATGGAAGTTTTTGTAAAATTTGTTGTTGTTTTTTATTATTGTATATCATCGGTTAAATATAGCTGGAATTCCTTTATGAAGATAATGTTTTGAAGAACAACTTGCAATTACTTAGTGGGAGGTGAAGTATGAATAATGCTTAACTAGGCGGACCTTTTAGAGCTCATTTTATATTTCTAACACGGACTTCTCATCTACAGCATAATGTATACAAACCCTTACGCACGCCGGCAATTAAACAAAATAATGCACATTTGATAGGCTGATATAAATACGAAAGTGATCAAACAAAATAATGCACATTTGATAGGCTGATATAAATACGAGAGTGATCAAACCAAATAATGTACATTTGATAGGCTGATATAAATACGAGAGTGATCAAACAAAATAATGTACATTTGATAGGCTGATATAAATACGAGAGTGATCAAACCAAATAATGCACATTTAATAGGCTGATATAAATACGAGAGTGTTCAAATAAAATAATGCAGATTTGATAGGCTGATATAAATACGAGAGTGTTCAAACAAAATAATGCACATTTGATAGGCTGATATAAATACGAGAATGATCAAACAAAATAATGCACATTTGATAGGCTGATATAAATACGAGAGTGATCAAACAAAATAATGCACATTTGATAGGCTGATATAAATACGAGAGTGATCAAACAAAATAATGCACATTTGATAGGCTGATATAAATACGAGAGTGATTAAACAAGTTCTTCATGTAACCACTTAAAATACATCACAGATACACGCTAATGCCTACAAATACACAACTACATACACCAAGTGACCCGTCAGGTCACAGCTGCTGGACACTTGCTGACCTTTCAGAGGGAAAGAAGGAGGGCCGAACAGGTGAGCAAAATTAGCAGAGAAGTACGGAGGAGGCAAAGGAAAGCGAGCTGGACCAGTCGGTGCTAAGATGTTTTCCATACAGTGCTGTCCGCCGAATGGAGTACTGTAGGAAATGTTATAGCTTTATTCTCTATGCTCTTAGATAGATAGATAAATAGGGAAACAGTCAGCTAGTTCGATAGTGCTGAATTTATGGATAGACAGATAAACAGGTAAATAACTAGACATATACATCGGACTGACATATAAGAATGATACAGAAATAATAATAATAAACAAATAATTCACTGCCCAAACTGTAAATTTACGAAATACAATATTACAAGTCACCTGCAGGCTTTCTTAATTTTTTATCCCTGTCAACGTGAATACTACTGCTTGTTCTTATAATTTTACTAAGAACTGAGAGACCTAAAGGTTTGGTAGGGTCTTTCAACCATTCAAGATTAAAGTATACTACTGAGCAGAAAAAGACGGTTTCTCGTTTCTTTAAAGTTTAAATCAACAAAAAACAATCGATGTTTCATTACTGTTATCTTAGCAAGTCTGAATTATCTATTAAATATTACAAGAATTTGCTTATTCCGAAAGACCAGTTTGCTTTAAAGATAACTTGGCTTTGTGTATTCGTTAATATGGGTATTATACCAAAAGTGTTAATAACATGCTTTATCTCACGTCGACTAGATATAATGGTACAGCTGATATATTTATAAAAATACTACTTTTCTAAATCTAAGCTTAAACGTAGGGTAACAAGGAATGGTATGATATATGTAAATATATATTAGTTCTAAAGATATCATGTTTTAATTATTTTATCTTAAAAATATTAATCTTTAGTGTACTTCATATGTATGACGCTTTTTTAAAAACATTTTCAACCAAAAATTTTGTATAATAATATTAGTTTGCAGTGATTTACGGTTACTTACAAAACCCTATAGAAAATTATAAATTACAATGATTTGTTAATTTATTTGATAATGTATGATAAAAATCTATTCTTAGAGGTCCTTAATTTCATAAATCTGATGAAACAGTTTGATTAACTGAAATTTAGAAACACAAAGCATAAATTTAAGGAACATCAACAATGTATTAAATGTTTAATAATAACAATATACTTAAAAATCAGCGAATATAAACAACGTATTAAGTGTTTAATGATAACAATATATTTAAAAATCAGCGAATATAAACGACGTATTAAGTGTTCAATGATAACAATATACTTAAAAATCAGCGAATATAAACGACGTATTAAGTGTTTAATGATAACAATATACTTAAAAATCAATGAATTTAAACAGTATATTAAGAGTGTGATGATAACAATATACTTAAAAATCAGCCTACTTTTCTGGAAAGGAAGGAATAAAAGTTGGAAAGCTTGATTGAGTAAACTGTCGCTTTTCGACAGCATAAACTATATCCTGTCAAACATTATTTAACATTAGACACTATCCCTTCACAAACATATTAAGAATATGTCCGTGAATTCAATAAGCATCTGACTCTACTTTTAAGGTATGGTTTCAAAACCGAAGAGCCAAGTGGCGAAAAGCTGAAAGACTACGAAAAGAAAGAGAGGAGAAAGAACGTGTACCTCAAGACGAAAATGATGACGAACAACAAACTAAAGAAGATGGCGGAGCGCTCTCTGTCGGTACTTCAGAAGCTTCTCGTGAGGAGGGAAATGCCGCTACTCCTTCAAGTGTACGAAACGCCAGTAATAGTCCCGGAGGACTCAGTGAGATATCAGAGGGTAGGTCCCCATCTCCTCATACGCTGTCTTCAACAACTCCTCAAACCGACAGAACTCAATCTGATCACTTCGAAGGGTCCTCCTCAATTTCACACTCAGTGAGTGATATTAGCCGTCAACGACAACCAGTAGATCTCCGACTAGGCGTTGGCAGACCTTCCCCGTGCGAAGATAGAGGAGTCTCCGTCAGTATGGCCCCAGTGTTTCCCGTCCGCCCAGCATGATGAAGATAAAGATACGTTTAACATGACGCAGGTAAAGATGCGTCTTTCCTGAAGAATAACTCGGGTTTAAAGTCGTGTTTTATCTATTGACTCGTTTAGGTAATTCTACAAAGTTTTACTGCTGTTTGTTGAGAAAAGAATTTGGAATTAGCACTGAACGCATCTTTACCTGCGTCATGTTAAACGTATCTTTACCTGCGTCATGTTAAACGTATCTTTACCTGCGTCATGTTAAACGTATCTTCATTTCGAGTTCAACATCAAACCAAAATGGAAATTCATTATTTAAAAATTTTAACAGTATATTATTTCTCTCTATACATTAAACATGTCTTTAAAGCTTAGCATACCATATTTGTACATTATACATATCCTTCAATTTTAACATAGCTTCTCTGCACACTAAACATATGTCTAAGTTATTTTTAAACTCTAGCAAAACATCAATTCAGATTACATATGTGTTTTTAGATGTAGCTACGAATCTCACTGCGAGAAATGTGTTTTTAAATTACGTAAAATAAGCACGCTACCCTATTAAAATAACTTTAAATTCTAGGACAGAATCTCTACACATTATATGTAGATCAATTTCTGACATAGCATCAATACAGATTACACGTGTTTTTAACTTTAGCTAGGATTCTAACTACATTAATGTTTCTTTAAGCTGTATGTAGCATGTTACTCATCTAATATATAAAGTTTGTGTCTGTTTGTTCGCACCTTTCAGCTATCTATTCCTTATACATTTCCACATTTCTTGATCAATCAGCACTTAACTTGACACAGTGATACAGGATGACACGAAGAAGGTCATGAGAGGTGTTGGGGGTTGGACCCTCATCTAATTTCATATTGATAGAATTTTTGAAAATAGTATTTCTTTCTTTTCAGTATTAGTACTTTTATGTATTTATATTGCACTTTTAGTGTTTATTATGATAAGAAACAAGAGGGAATACTCAATTATCGCGGCACTTGCAATTTTTTTAGGCAAGATTAGAGTAAATTAATCTATGAAACCTTGGGCGTGGTCAAATATATCAATCGGGGTTTGACCTCCTGAGTCCAAAACTGTAATTAGATCTCAAATCAGTCAAGAGGTGACTGAGCTATGAGTTAAAAGTTTGTACCTTAAGAAAAACAGAGCTATTCTATGGGCCGCTCTGCCATGGCTAGAAAAATTTCCCATCCTTTGTTACAAACGAGTTTTTATTTCACCCGTTAGTTGGACGGGTACTCCAGCTAGTTAGAGATATTTGACAATTTAGCTAACTGTTCTGCTACAACGCAGATACATTTTGGTTGAACTAATCATCTAACATCATCAAACTTATTTTAAGCTCTGGCCATCACATTAAATCAAACTTCCATTAACAATCTAACTATAACAAATATTTCTCGAACTCTTAGTTAAGTAAATTACCACATTAAAGCTTTTAAGCTCCAGCCCATCACATTAATAACGTCTTTAAGTTCATTACATTAATCACGTTGCTGTAATCCGTAAGTTGCCCGTGAGTAGGGATCAGTTTCATAAGCTTATTCCTAAGGCTTATTTTTATATTTATTCAAAATAGATTTTTGAATCTATAAAGTGTATGACATGTTTACTTATTGAAGAGCGAAAGGGTATAATTTTCATCAGCTATTAAGCTGTTTTGAGAATGTACATTTATCAGTATACTTAAACTACAGCTAAGCATTTGTTCAAACAAAACATTTGTAATATTGAATAGAACGCTTAACAGACATATGCTCTGTTTGATTTCTAACTGTACATTTTGTCCACATTATTACTTTTTTACTTTAAAAATTCTTGATATATTTTTATTTTTTAAATTTTGTTTTGGCGATACTTGTCACATCAATGTTACGACAAATTTGAAAAGCAGATTTATAACCCATAGCATAAACTCTTTGAAATATATTCACATTTTAATCTAGTAAAAATGTAGCCAGTTAAATATTATTTTGTTAGATACCGAAACATGGTTTTCTGGATGATTGTTCACTACAAAGGACAAACCGATACAATTTGTAGATGAATAAGGGGGATAACACTTGTAAGTGCGTCGAAAGCTCCCAACCAGGATGTTTAAACGTTATCAAGAAATCGACGTGACCAATGATCTGAACAGCTTGTTATTGATTTAAAAAATTCAGATAATATACTTCTCATCTCAGAATTATTCCAATAGATGATCCTCAGAATTTTTGGTTTTATTTTTATCATGTTTAGTATTTCGTTCTTAGTGATAATTATCAGTATCTTAGTTGTAATTATATATTATTTAACATGGTGTTTTTCTAAGAAATTGATAGATTATTTCTAGAAATATATCTTGCTTATTATTGTAGTAATTATCAATTGCTTTGTATGTTGGGAGGTGGAGGGATTTTCGAAAGCTAAAGTGCTTATCTTGATATGAAGTTAGAAGAGTTTGTCTGGTTATCTGAAATGCTTATCTTCGTAATAATTTATAGTTGTTTAATTTGGAATTTTCCTGGGAGTATCTTAGGGAAGATGAAAGCTAATTTTTCGTATTAATTAACATTTGGTTATTTAAAATTTCTTTTGGGGAGGTTTGGGCAGAGTTTATAAAATAGAAGGAACTTGTTTGAGTACTAATACTTTTCTGTCTTTCTGGGAAAACGAGACTTTTTCTAAAAGGTGGAATATTTATTACCCCCCCCCCCCGATGGCAAGGTTTTCTTTCACTCCTGTGTGTGTGAAACAGTACGACTCAAAAAGGTTTCATCTCATTTTGATCATATTTGCTACAAAGATTGAATGTTTCCCCTAGGACCAATTGATTAACTTTTATTGAAAGTCAAAAGTTAAGGGCACACTGTAGTTAAACAGTATAACTATAAACTATAAAAAGCGTTTATCTAATTTTGATCAATTTTTATAGAAACGTCGAGTGCCCTTGAAGGACTAATTGATTAAAGTTTGGTGAATGTAGCATACAAGTCCAGATAACACTGAAGATTAACAATTTCTGTCATCGGTCAAACGGAAGCCAAGTAATTATAGTAAGATGATGCCAACTGACTACAAGTGTCTTAAAGCATTATTAGCGGAATATTACACCTGCGAAAGAGAGATCAACATCCAAAAAAACAACAAAAACAGCCGATCGCTACTTTCGATTTTGCCTCGAACAAATAATTGAGTATCTACTCTGAGACAGAATTTGATGTTCATAGTCACAATTGGACGCTATGTCAATATACAGACATTTATAAATAGACTTTATAGTGTCGGTCTGCATGTCATACACAAGTGAAATCCATTCCGCTCTTAGTAAGGCACAAAATATATCTTAACTGCAATGATGCCAAGAATATGTCTAGTATAGAAACTACACCCAGAGCAGCATTTTTTTGCAGATGCTTTGCACTTCACACTAGAGTCAAATAACACATATGTCTGCTTATTAGGATTGAATCTAAAACCACAGAGGAACGTGGCTCATATCATATGGTGGTGGCGGAAGTGTGCAGGAAAAGCACTAGAGTATCTAGAAACATCTACATTCTGTTGAATTATATTATTAATGCCAAACTTTATAGGGACCACATCTTACGATCCCTTTGTGCTTTCATTTGCTAGGCGGACTTCATTTTATCAAGCATGTACAGAAAGTTCTTGTGACACTAGCTACATCCTGTCGAGTGACTCTAGATACTGAAGTTGACCTGAAAACAGGTCTTTCAGAGAAGTATCGAGTATACTTCAGAACCTCATCAACATTGGTGCCTGGCTTGGCTTACTCTTCTTAATGACCTTATTTCACACTAAAGTGAAATAACTTGAGCTGTAAAGATGTAAGATATCTCTATCAAATATCCTTTTACAAATATATATTGAATGATTGATCATTTGCATTTTAGATAACGGATATGTCTAATTTATATAAAAATAAACAGTTGGTGTGTGACTGATATTATTTCATAGTCGTAATTATAATATTACCAGTTACAATTATCCTTTGTTTCGAGTCTGGTATGTCCTAGGGCACTCAGCTCGTAAGCTGCGGGTTCAAATCCCTTTACCGAACATACTCGCCCTTTCAGCCGTGGAGGCGTTATAATGTTAAGACCAATCTCACTTTTCGTTTGTAAAGAGAAGCCCAAGAGTTGGAGGTGGCTGGTATTGATTAATTTCTAAATTATGGATGGCTAGCGTAGATAATCTTTGCAAAATTCTACGAACAAACAAACATAACAAAATTACTTTTTTTCATTCACTGTTTAAAAATAGTTAACGTATGTGTTGCAAACAAGCATATGTACATTTTATAAAATTCCACATCCCTTCCCAATGTATGCATCATGCATAGTGCTTAATCCTCCCCCCAATGTTTGTATCGTATAATAGCACGTTTCTCTCCATTGTATATACCATATATCAACACATTATTTTCCAATGTAT